CCCCAAAAATAAACATTAAAAAAAAACTTTTTTTTTTTTAAATTGAGAGTAACAGTGCCGTAGAGGTGGGTTGATTAAAAAGAAAAAATGAATTAAAGCAGGAATCATAATACTATTTAATATTTAATTTTAAGTTAAAACATATAAAAGTTCATTTAGTCACCAGACTTTTGGAGGGGGTTTAGGCCCTTTCTTTGAGCGGGGGTATACTGACTTCAGATCTGCCTCACTTTTCTTGCAAAAACCATGCCTGTAAAGTTTTACCTACAGTTTCACATTTTGGTTTCTTTCAAGTGGGTTAATATGTTATGAAACGACCTATATACAAAATCTTTCCAGATTTTTATGTCGTCTTCCCTAATCTTTTACGTTTGTGTTGCCAACAGCACTGGTTTTTTGTTTTTTTTTTTCAACTCAAACTCGAAAATGCATTGAAAGCGTTAGATTTACTTCTCATGGAAACAAGTTTTTTCTTTATACAATATAGCCATATTTCACTAAGTGTTGTGTTTAGAAAAATTACCTACGATAACATCAAGTACAACTTAAACTAGTTGGGGAATAAACATAGCTGTCCTCTGCAGAACAGATTCAGCAGATGAGAGCACAGGGCCAAGGGCAGGATCCTGCTGGGCATTCAGCGGGCTGTGGGCAGCAGCCAGCAGGTTTTACAGAGGGAAGGAGAATCATCGCATCAAATCCCCAAAGTGGGTGGGGTGTGGTAGCTGTTGGTTTAGAGAGCAGCCACTAAAATAGATCATATTGTAGATTCTTTGAAAGTATGATATCCAGCAAAAATCGTGTTGTCTTCACCGTCTAGAGATGGCTACTATTAACAATTTTGGTGTGTTTTCTTCCAGTGTCCATATTTGTAAGTGTAGCGTGTGTATTTTCAAACTTAGGATCTCACTGTGTATTTTTGCAATTATGAGCATTTGCTTGTTCAAAACATCCACCAGCTTTCCATTGCAAGGCTCCCTGGGAAGGTGTGGAAGCAGGACCAGGGGGGGCTAGGAGATAGAGAACCCCTCTGCTTCCCCAGCTCTTTGGGGCAAAGGTTTGGGGGGGACCATGCAGAAGGACGGACCATGGGGACTTTTCTCCAGGACAAGCCTGGTTGAATTTAAGAGGCAGAGTGAGGACTTCTTGAAGGGGTTGAAAATGTTGGAGCGTTTGTTTAGCAAATATTGGGATTCCAGAACTCACCGTGGAAAGGCTGGGAAGGAAAGACGAGGCAGCAAGGAGATACAAGGAGAAGAAGCAGAAAATGGCGTGGGGTGGGATTTAGGGAAGGGCCTGTCCTCTCTGTGGTGGCCACAGTCAGTGGGGACAAGAGACTGGTCCTGAACTGTACCAGTAACTGGTACTGAAGGCTTGCTGAGGACTTGTTAAAACACAGACGGTGTTAAAACACACACCCGCCAAAGTTCCTGATCACTTAGTCTGGGGCTACCACTGGTCTAAGGCAGGGCGCAGAGAACGTTTTTAATCGTAGAATGATGGACAACCCACTTGACCAGCCAGGCCAATCCTGCTGGTGACAGAAGGCGTTCTTTCTTATGTCAGGGACAGAATCTGCCCAAACCTTTCCAACTTCGAGCAGACACATAGCTCTGTGGCTGCCTCGGAACCACCTCATGTTTAAGAGGGGGCCCTTCCCTGTACTGTCGGGAAGAAGTGGCCTCTCTTTGCACCCTGACTGCATGAGGCCCTGGAAGGCAGCAGGATTATGTAGCCCACGGTACATCCTGTCGGCTTCCCTTTCTGGCTCAGGGGGCCTGTGGCATCAGTGACAGTCAATACTGCGCATTAGCGACAGTATTTGCTAATTATTCAAAAAATGAGCCACTCTCATTACACAAGATTTGGGGATTTATTTTAAAAAATTGGTATGGGGCGCCTGGGTGGCTCAGTCAGTTAAGCATCCGACTTTGGCTCAGGTCGTGATCTCTGAGTACGTGAGCTCGAGCCTCGCATTGGGCCCGCTGCTCTCCGTGCAGAACTTGCTTGGGATTCTCACTCTCTCCTCTCTTGCTGCCCCTCTCCCACTCCTACTTTCTCTCTCTCTCTCAAAATAAATAAATAGACCTAAAAAATTTTTAAAAATTGGCATAGATCTCGCCCACTCCCACAATATTTTATTCACTTACCCCCTTGAAGGTTGGTTGGTTTTGAGACTGAGACAGGGAGAGCCTGGGCGGCTCAGTTGGTTAAAGAGGCTGGCTCTTGATTTTGACTCAGGTTACGATCTCATGGTTCGTGAGATCGAGCCCTGCGTTGGGCTCTTCATGGAGTATGTGGAGTCTGCTTGGGGTTCTCTCTCCCTCTCTCCCTCTGACCATCCCCCTCCCTCAAAATAAATAAACTCTAAAAAAGTTAAATAAAATGAGCGGTTTGTTAGAAAGAAATCAAAGGCAGACATTTAGCACAACTGAAGCTCAGTCCCCCAGACGGGCAGGAGTGCAGCCCTGAAACCCTTTGCTTCAAGCCTGGGGAAGGGGGGCCCCTGACCTCTGCTGCCGCCTCTCTGCCCCCCTTCCCGGTCCTGAAACCCCTGCCTCGCGCTGCCTCCTCTCCACTACCTTTAGAAAGAAAGTAAGTACCCACGCCACTTGCCTCTGTCCATTTGTTGATGTATTCCCAATTCAGTGTATTTTCTAACTTCCCGTTGAGCTCTACATTTTCCGTCACTGGTAAAGCCGTTTGATGTTTAGATCACAGGGAACCGTGGGCTGTGATGTGGGCTCCGTCATAGTAGGACTCCACGGGCTCAGCCATGGAGATGGGGAGAACTGGAGGGGTGACTTTCCCATGTGGATTAGTGCTCTGTTGGCCTAGATCAACCCCATGAACATAAAAGGGGGTTTCCGCCTCTGAACTGCTTGATTTTTGCCACCAAGGAGGTAAAATAAAAGCACATTTAACGCTTTTTTTCTTTCATAGCTGGTTTGTAAGCGTGGCGTCCAGCCTCATCTTGACTGAGAACCTTCAAGAAAATACAGGAATTAGAGGGCTACTGGGGGCAGGTAGCGGAGGTTAGCTCTAAGTCTGAGTGAGGAAGATCCGCGTTCCAAGCTGCTTATATTTGTCACGATGAAAAGTTTCACTTTTGCAAAGTTTTCAGTTTTTTCTACTGTTGCTCGAGTGGTCTTTCTTAGTGCGTATGTTGTATTTATTCTTTGCTGTGAAAATGACTTTGTGCTTGGAAACTGTTACCCAGCTGCTCAGTGTTCTTGGGTTCTGACTGTTCTGGTTAAATTAAAACAATTGAAATATTTGGATTCCTCCTTTGGATGTCTTTTCTCTTCCTGCTGTACCACCTTGCCGTCGTCCTCAAATATCCGTAAGTAGCCTGTTAATAATTTCAGAGGTAGTGATTCCAGTCGGCTTTAGTAAATTCAGTAGCCCAGACATCGTTTGTTTGTATAATTTAATAGTAAAATTGGTGAGCGTGGGGAGCGGATGATGCATCTTACAGTGTAGTGATAAAGAGAGTTCAGGTTTTGGAGCGGTCTGAGCTCGGTCAGACCCTCACCGTTCCAGACTTTACACTTTCTCAGCCATAAAATTAGGACAGTCTGTCTGCCTCCCGGGGACAGGAGCCAGGAGCCCGCCTGCTATGGGAGGAACCTCTAGGGGAGGCCCGTAGTGCCCAGTGAGCTCCCAGTAGGCCTCACTGACGCCACGACTTCTAAACGTGAAATCTGTATCTAGGTCTAAGCTTAAAGAATTGTAATAAAATTGTGCAAACACGTATGTATGTAATTTATGATTTCATTAAGTCCGTTTCCTTGAAACTCGGGAAGCAGGGGAAAGAAGACCGGCATCGAGGTTAGAACGTTTCATTCTGACTCTGGCCTCATCGTGAATCGGCTGTGTGACGCAGGCCTCTCCCCGACCATGAGCTTCACTCTCCTTGTTTGTAAGGCAAACGAGTGGTAGACTCAAGTCGTGCTTAAAATCCCTCCCAGCCCTCCCGCTCTGTGAGCATATTGTTCCCGGCTAGCTAAAGTTTTCACGGACTCATTCTGTTAGAAGGAGAGACAAATGTGCTTCCTGTAGTAGAATCTAGTAGGACCTCCTTATATGGGAATTGCGTATAATAAGTTATGTTTGGCAGTTTACTGATTTCACTGGAATAAATCCTCCCTAATTAATCCTCTAGAATAAGTGATCACTCAACTAAAGCACACCTTTATTCGGGAAGGAATTTTTACTCAACGCGAAAAGGTCACAATTATCATTCAGGTCACGCTAACCGTGTTTATGAAACAAGTATAGTATTTCCCTTGAGATACTGTTGCTCTATGTGCACTAACATCATAATGTACCTACTAGTACAGACAGTAATTCAAATCCATCGTTATTCCCCGGACGCCATTGTGGCCCATGGGTCAGAACTTACCCTCTAACCGGAAACTATGGGAACAGTTAATGAGTAGCTCAGTTTTCATGTTTTGAATTTTACTGTATTTTTATATTTATTGAAGCGCCGATGCTGATGAGTAGCTACAACCAAGAGGAAATCGTAGCCTCCTAGGATCGGAGAATCTAGAGACGGGTCTGGCCCACCTCCCTTGAGGAGGCAGAAGCTTAGAAGTCAAGTGCCTGACCCAGGTCTCGTGGTCAGTCAGTGGCAGAGCAGAGCTATAGCCCAGGCCCCCCTGCGCCCCCCCCCCCCCCCCCCCCCCGCCCCAGCTCCGGCTGCTTTCACTGGACCGCAGTGCCTCCTGGGCAGCAGGGGCCGGGGTGACCGGCCCAGGGCCTGGTCCAGTCGTGGGAGACCACAGTTACGTCTGCGGCCCGTGGGTGGTTCGCGCACGAAGCCAGCAGCAAGGGGGCAGTGGAGGGCAGAGGGAAAACTAGACCGCGTCTGTCCTGCTCGCCTGCGTAGCCCCAGCAGCTGGCCTAGTGCCTGTTACGTGATAGGTGTGCGGTAAGGGTTTGCTAAACGAGGGAATGTAACAGAAACGTTCCTGCTCAATCATAGTACATCTAGAATGCTTGCTTTCTTCTTTAAGGTCCTTGAACACATGCCCTTGCTGCTGTATATCTTGGCAGCAAAAACCTTAATTCTCTGCCTGGCATTTGCTGGAGTCAAAATCTACCAACGGAAAAGATTAGAAGCAAAACTGGAAGCTGAAAAAAAGAAGCAGTCAGAGAAGAAAGATAACTAGAGGGAAAAATCAAAGGTATGGGGACTTTGCTCGTGCAAAATTTACAGCGGGCCGGGGTGGGCCGAGGCACAGACGTGGGGGTCAGAGAACCCCTCCTCCCTCCAGGCTGAAGGCCGCGTGAGACCCACCTGCTGTCTGATGGGGGGCATCTGTGGGAGGGGAGGTGTGCAGATCCCGGCCCCCTGCACCCTGGGTGCAGATGAGATAGGTTGTGCCCGCCTCTGCTCGAAGCCTGGGCGCTGCTCCCTTATCCAGGCAGTGGGGCTGAGCAGGTGTTGGGTCGCAGAACTCTTGAGAATTTCCTGAGAGCCGTGGACCTTCTCCCAGCAGAAGCACGCAGAGTAGAAACACCTACAGTTGCACATCAAATTGCAGACGGGGGCGGGGAGGAGGTGGGGTCACAGGTCTGTGGAGACCCACGCCCATACCTAAGATGAACAAACCCTGCTCGATCTTCAGGAGAAAGTCTGACTCCCAGGAATGGCATAGAAATCCCTTCCCGATGTGTTCTTGCCCCTCCAGTGCTCACTCCCCACACTTCTGCAGGCCACTCCTTGACCGTGAGAGACTTTCTGGCCCCTTGGCCTTGGCTTGTTAGTCCCAGAGGGTCCTTCCCAACAACCTCTTCACGTAAGCGTGAAGTCTTACTCGTCGCGGTAGCCCCGGGCCTGTGACAGCACCCAAGAGGTGCCCAGAGCACATCTGTTGAGTTAAGGCACCAGGAAGTAGTTCTGAAACCCCCACCACAGAGTGAACAGACGATGATCAACACCTCCCTTAGTTCTGGTGTGTGATCTGATTTCTTCCATTTATCAGGTTGAATTCTGTGCTGCTCTGAAAATTTGAGGATTCAACTACGGTGGCAGGGGTTTCTAGATCAGCGGTCCCCAAACTTGGCTACTGATCAGAATTGTTGAAAGTGCAGATTTCCAGGCCCCAACCCCCGAGAGATTCCATTACGTGGGTGTAGACATCTGTTCTTTTGAAAAACCATTAAGGGATTCTTCTTTCTTTTTTTTCTTTCTTAACATACGTAGGTGTATTTTTTATTTAAATTTTAGTTAGTTAACATGCACTGGGGGATTCTTAACACAGCCCTTTCAGCAACGTGTCGCTCTAGGAGCCACTGGGCCAGCGATCTCCTAACCCCCCTCCACCCGGAGATCCCATGCTTCCCTAAATAGGAATTCCCATAGAGGATTTTTAAAAACCTTTTTTAATGTTGATTTATTTTGAGGGAGAGAGAGGGGCAGAGAAAAAGAGGGAGAGAGAGACTCCCAAGCAGGCTCCGAGCTGTCAGCACAGAGCCTAACACGGGGCTCCATCCCACAAACTGTGAAATCATGACCTGAGCAAAAATCAGCCTCGGATGCTTAACCAGTTGTGCCACCCAGGTGCCTTCCGTAGAGGATCTTTAGGCCTGTGGAGGTGTAGGGGCGCCTGGGTGGCTCTGTCGGTTAAGCGTCAGCCTTCAGCTCAGGTCACAATCTCGCACTCCGTGAGTTCAAGCCCCGCGTCGGGCTCTGTGCTGACAGCTCGGAGCCTGGAGCCTGCTTCGGATTCTGGGTCTCCCTCTCTCTCTGCCCCACCCCCGCCCACGCTCTCTCTCTCTCTCTTACTATA